AAATTTTTATTTTAAAGAGAAGTTTTTCGTTTTCTCGTTAATCAATATGTGCACTTTTTGATTGCATAAAGTTTTTGACAAGCATTAAAACAAATATTGCTAAATTATTATTTAAAAAAGTATAAATATTAAAATTTTAAATTATAATTACGATGCCATCTATTCATCAAGGAATAAACAAATCGGAAATTAATTGAAAAAAGTTTTCACTAGTTAATTTAAGTTCGTGTTTCAATGGAAAAAAACGTATTATTTTTTTTTCACGACGACAATAAAGATCTTATTCCAATAGATATTTTATTTCTTGAAATATTATTGAGAAGAAGAAAGCACGAGCTAGCGCTTGACCTCTATCCTCACTTCTGTCAAACGAAATTAATAAAAGCTAAAGGAGAAATCTATTCCTTTACGCAATAAATCGTACTCGAGATTATCGATTGATCAATCATCGTTATCTTAATATCGAACAACTTTAAGAGAGGAAAAAAAAAGCAACAATGCACACCGAAAAGCCGGTAGCCATAAAAGTAATTACATTATCCAATTTAAAAAATAATTTAAATATTTTATTACATAAAATAAACTCCGGAGGGCGTTGCGAGATTTTATAATTATCCATTCTGTAGTTAGAATTAAATATAAAATGGTTATTTTATACGAATTGGAAGAGTAAGAGGAAACAATAAACGGCTGAAAAAGTTAACAATCATTGTATTTCGATCAGTTACTATTGTTGAATTCTTCGCTTGTGACGTCACAGTAACAGATGGAAGTGACACTTTCTCAGGTATAATGACGGGTTAGGTCCTTTTTTTTCGGTCGCCATTCTGCGGGGAGGGAGAGAAGGAGGTTACCCCCGTAAATAACAGACCACAAGTTGCTGTAATCTAGATCCTCCGGCGACTGCTATGGGAAGGGAGCATCTTGCGTCGACACATCTATCTGCACGGCTTCGTTATCCCCACTTGTCTCTGCCCCACTTCCAATTTCCGAGATCGTGTTATGAAAATTTGTTCGTCGGACCGATGTCATCAACATCTGCTGCACCCCTACAGCTCTTTCACATTTTTTTTGCCCTTCCCTCCAAGACTGAATCCAGTTGAAAAGTCAAACTAAAAATATAAATGCTAATTAATAAGCACCGTTTTAAAATGGAAAAGAGAGGAATAAAAAGCAATTTAAATGATTTCATAAACCGGCATTAATATGCTGATTTGATGTAATTAGATCTCCACCCCTTTTTTGATAATTATTCCATACTACGCTGTTTAAAGTTTATGACGGAGAGCAATTTTATCTCCATGACTTTATATTGGGCGAAATAACATTCAAATTTCTTTTTTAAAACCAAATAATTATCCAATAATTTTCGATTAGACGTTAGCAGATGGAGCCACGTGTTACGTATATTCGATAAATTCGCGTAATACTTTTTTCCAAAAAATAAAAAAACCGAATAAATTTAATAAGTTTATCAATATTAAAAGCGTTACAATTTAATACGGTTGTTTAAAGATTGTAGTAGGAAGCGACTCGTTAACGGTAAAAAAATAAAATAGGCTAACGGAAGGCGAAGTCGGTTCTGCTAGACTTGTTGGCAACAATAATCGTAAAATGTCGTGTTGCAGTCTCGTTAGTTCTCGTTTATCACGCGAGATCACATCTCCTTATCACGTGCCTCACAACTCGCGGATTATAGAGAGAAGAGACGTAAGACGTAGGCCACGAATGATGGCATCACACGGAAGTTTGCCCGTGACGTCATAGAGTCCGGTCTAGACGAGACGTTTATTAAACGATAAAATAACCTTCCTTCTACGATATCATTAGTAGTTATTATCGTTTCTTCTGTGCGCATCCCATCAGTTGGGACAAGAATGAGTTTTTGCTCATCTTTGCTTAAAGTTATAAATTTAATAACAATTACGCGTTTCTATCTGATGACATAACTTAAAAACGCCTTATCTGTTGTAAGATGCGGAAGATTAAATTGACGTTAATAAGGGACGAGTCTCGAAGAATTTGGAGAGTTACGAGCGCTTTAAACATTGCCGAATCTATATGGAGTCATTTCACATCTGCAGTCCAGACCATTTGAGAACGTTCAAACAGACAGAAAAAATTAAGATGATTTCCGAGGATATTCCTGTTTAAATTTATTTCGGTTATTTTAAGAATATACCGAAGATTACATTTTTACTTATTGGAATCCATTTTATCTGTCGAATTTAAAAAAAAAAATGTTTAATGTCAATCATTCTTCGGCATTTTTTTTTACTTTTGTTAGAAAATGTTCGGACGTGTAGAAAATGACGTAATTAGGGAATTTGGTTCGGCGAGATATTGTACTTAGAATGAAGATTAGATGTCATTTGATCGAACTGGATTTTTTTTCGTCTCTAGTCGATTTTCAGTTGCCTCCGCCCTTTGAAAAGTCGTCCGAGCTCATTTGGTGGAAAGCGCATTCGATCTGGCAGCGATAAACCTGGCATTTCTTAACAAAACCGTTTCTTTATCCACTCCATTGTTCTTTATTCGTGGCTGTATCTTTTCTTTCGTCGAACAGAAGGGATTATCGCGGATAAGGCAGCCTGAGGTTTGACTTACAAGTTTATTGATTTTGGCGTCGGTCGGCCCGATATAAAAGCTTTTAATATAGTTAAAATTCATATAAATTCAGTCCGTACACAAAGTGTTCGAAGAGAATGTTTTGTCCTAGTTTATCTCGTAAACCATTCCGGTTGACGTCGGATCGAATAATCAATTATTAATTAGTAGAAAGTAGCCGTTCTTCTTTCAATTTACGGATTTATTTAAAGTCGTCTGCGAGCCAAATACTTTACCTTACGTCAAATAAAAGAGTTAATGCACAAGTTACTCTTTTGAACAAACAAGTCAGAAAAACCGAACGTGCTAAGAATAATGTTTGGGGGTTTTTCAAACATTTCGTTGTAATCCATCAACCACTTTGATCAGTCTACATTGACAGTGTGCAATTTAGTCAAATGTCGTTGCGTGTGCACGTGGTGAGAACTGTCTTCGGGCACTCCCCGTGGAGAAAACTCCATTAGAAGGTTTCAAATCAAAAGTTTTTATATTTAGAACGTCAGAAATATTAACCGACTTTATCCGATAATATATATAAACTACCGATGGGCAAATATTTTATGTTTATCTATTTATAACGCGATTTCTCGGCACGTATTCCGTAAACTCCTATTCAATTAGGAAACTTAAATGCTATAATGTTCGAGCCACTTGAAAAATTGAAAGTCGAAAAATCGTGGAATTTTTTATTTTTATTTCTGTTCGGATTATGTTTGTTTTTTCAAAAGACTGTCTATTTTTGTGTGTAAACAGATCTTTTGCTTTTATTATTGACGTACGACGATCGATTCGTGCTTTTTTAAAATTAATTAACTGTCCAGAAGTATGCACGGTTCCAGTCCGAGTGGTCAGTTAATAAACACTCTGTTCGTGCCAATTATATCATCCTAAAAGGAGTTATTCCAACGGATTGATAATGATTTTATTTAAACTAACAGTTAGAGAATTATTGGATTATATCGATGTAATATGTTTGTCCGATGCACGATACAATAGCAATGATCATTAATCGATAAACAGAAATACGGTAGCGACATAATAGTCTTCGTGATCACGGTCCATTAAAGCTGTACATCATCTCTCGTTTTCCTCTACCTATACACCTGGAATGGTGACGTCGGGTCATGTGACACTCCGTTGACGTCACAGATAAGAGTTCGCCAACCGTTTCGGAAGGAAACAATTTTTTTTCCTCTCTCTTTTAAGAAAAAGACAGTATTTGTCGTATTCGCAAAGATTTGTTAACTCATTTTTATATTTCATACTTTTTTAAAGATTTAAAAGGTTTATACTTAAGATTTTTCGCTTGTTACGAATCTACATTTTATTATTGGTGTTTTTTAAAAAGCTATTTAAAATTTATTAATGGAATTATATTTATTATGATTATTAATATTTTATTCATATTAGTCTCAATTTCTTACACATGACAGCTCCGAAATTAGTAAATGAGAAATACTGTTAATGGTGGCTTATATATATAGATACCTAGACGTAAAGTAGATGAGAATTTTATCTATATTCTGCAATATCTATCTTCTAAAAATATTATAAGACCCCACTAATTTATTTTTATGTTTGAATACCTAATATCGGCACTATATCATTTTTGAATTTTTTTCTTTCCTACTAGTAATTCGAATTTTAAGGATCGAGATATTTTTTCCTCTTAATTTTTTATCTCGGGGAGTGAATATAAATCAATACCGTATGTAAATTACATTATATACATTCTTATCACGAAGGCAAGAAAATTTCATTAAAAAAAATTAAAATTATTACCGTGTTAATAATGAAAGAATCCGAACAAATTAGGAAAGAATTAATCTGGTTTCAGTCACGATAGTCGAGTCTTTCGTGGCAGAAGGATACGATTAAGAATCGTGACAAACGACACCGTGACATTGTCTATCCGTAGCATGCGCTACCATCTTTTGCAACTCGTACATCAACAGGTAGACGATTTATTTTTGGAGGAGGATCGCCCAATTACAGATAGTAAGCGAGGAGGAAAAAATGAACTGTTTTGACGATAGTCATTGAGTCATGGGAATGTCCAGAGACGTAATGGCAATTTGCCAACCTTCTTTTTTTGTAAAGACAACCGAAAATGAATGTTTCGATAAAAAAATAAGTCTTAAATTTAAGATTTAAGTAGGACAATTAGAAGCTATTACGGGAACAACCACACACACACACACACCCGTCTTCCTCATTTGCAAATATTATTATAAATAAAATTCAAAGGCAGATTTAAAAAATGGGCAACTTAAATAAAAATTATCAGTTAATTGGAGAGCAATTTTTATTTAACAGCCCGATCATTTTTGTCTGGAGAAGAATTATTTTTATCCCGGAGCTATAAGTTGAAAAACAGCAGTTAGTAGGCCAAAGCTGAAGGGAGAATAGATGTAGCACCAAGCGGCGAGTACCCCAAAACGCGCCTCTTCATTGTGGCTGGGTGTTGCTAGTCGGGCGAGGAATAGTCGTACGAAGCATTACTCTCTTCTTATTACTTTAACTGTACACAAACACACTATCGATCAGGTTTTTAATTGTCGTACGAACGAATATTGTGACCAAGTCTTTTCTATAAAAACAAATCCATTAGGTGTTTTCGATGACGGTAACAAACGCGGCAATGTCATTGAACCGGCAGCTCTAACAGTCACGTGTAGTATTGTCTAGTTCCATGGCCATGCGAACACAAGTCCTTGAAGCGTTTGTGAGCATGCGCAGAAGGACGGCAGCGAGCGGGGCGCGTGGTTGCCATGAAAGCCAGTGAGAACGGTTGTCCAACATGGCTACACTGCACAATGGTGTGTTGGAGCCCAGTTCTCACCATCAGAACGGCCATCCCAGTCTTAGTGAAAGTAACGTACCCGTGAAGGACCACGATGCTATTAAACTGTTTGTGGGTCAAATTCCTCGGAATTTGGACGAGAGAGACTTAAAACCTTTATTCGAACAATTCGGTAAGATATATGAACTGACAGTGCTGAAAGACAAATATACAGGAATGCATAAAGGTGAGTTTGTGTCGATGTTACGCGTGTGTAACGAAGGAGTGGACGTTACGTGCGTTACGTACGCGGCGTGTAGAGTGGTGTCGTGGGTTGACAATGGAAGGAACTTTGTTCTGAGCGCGTGGAGGTCACAGCTGCTGGCGAATACGTCAGCCAGCTGGTCGCTATCTTTTAGCCGAGCACTTTGTTGACTTTAATATGCTTTATGATTCATCCCGTTTTAATTAGCAAAGCTGCCTATCTTTGATATTATTATTAATATCCGGTTGTTTAGTTTTGCTCTTCGCTCGAATTGTAAGATGACAGGATTAAAGCATCATTTCCTATGCTAATCTATAAGTAATGGAGTTTGACAATCCAGTTATTCTTTGCATTTTCGAGTGTTAACGTCAGATATTTTGAGTGAAATACGATTCTTTCCTATGACAGATGTAGAGATTACTTTGCCTGGTCACAACACCACTCGCTCTATTTTTGTTATTATTTATTCTATTCTGTTTGATTAGAGGAAATCCGTTAATCATTTAGAAATGAAAACGACACGCTTCGTCTATTATATTTCATTCATTTTCGTACTTATTTAACAAGTTTCATTTCTCTTTAAGTACATCGTAATTAAAAGTACCAAATGCAATTATCTGATATTTATATTCGTATTACTTGTGTACAGCTGCTTTAATACAGCAATAAAAATTAGTGGAAGCTGTCAATTATAAATGAAAATTTAATTATGTTTAACATTTTTATATTTATTTATTATTCTATATAATTTTTTCGAAGAAAAATAAAAACTCATTAAGAATTGCAATAAAACATTTATTTTATTATATTTATTTATTTCATTTATAAGATTTAAATATATCTGTCAAAAATATGTTATGCTTAATAATATATGAATTATATTAAAGACTCTCTTCTTATAGTATGTTAATTTGAAAGTATATTAAATCTGTCGTGTTTAATATAATTTTTCTTCATTCTAAATGAATTTTCTTGTCACAGGATGCGCGTTTTTGACGTATTGTGGTCGAGAAAGTGCAATCAAGGCCCAGAATGCATTGCATGAACAGAAGACACTTCCAGGGGTGAGTTAATCGATAAAGTTTTTGTCTAACACCTGAATTTTTCATGGACAGTTCCTTAATTGTTCACCCACATCTGTGATTGCAACCTTCACTTATGTACACTGTTGCTTTTAACATGTGAAAATGCCACATCATTTATAGATGTTGGAAATAATGAAGTTTTGATGGGGTAGAAACTGCCCAGTGTGTGAATTTTTATTTATTTTTTAAAAAAGGTTTTACTTTTATGGAGCCAATTGAATCCTCCAAGAGAATTTTTTTACAAATTTTCTAGTTGGAAAATGTGTAAAATATGCATGATCTGTAGTATTAATGGTATACGTGGATGAGTTTCGTGCATATTGGATCTACTCGTACATTTACTAGTTTATACAAAATCTGTAAGTAAATAAATCGATGAGAAATTTATAAAATAAAAAATAACGATGGTCATTTTTTCTCGTTACGATAAAATCGAAGTTATTAGTGGTCCAGATATAATTTTAAAATAAAATATATTTGGAGATATTGCAGACACAATGCAACAAATAGGATTGATTTATCTTTCCATAAATTTTTGAGGTTTCGTTTATTGGTCATAAAATGTCTGCGATATATTTCAAAGAAACAACATCTCTGTGATATTAGATTTCTGATATTTTAAGTATTTATTTGTTATCATTATGAATAATTTAGATATACAATACTCGTAAATTTTTATTTAGTTGGGAAATTTTTCTAGTTAAAATATAAAAGTGTTAAATTATCAAACACTCAATGAAATCTGTAAATGACAATTAAAGTTTAAATTCTTTGTTTTCAGTCTTCTATAGTTACTCAGTGTAAGAAATAAAATGGAAGGTGGGATGGAGAAGGAGTCAATTCTCCAATTTTGATTAATTTTATTCACACTTTTTATATAGAGAAGAGAAATATGAACTGTTCGGTTGGCAGCTAAAGTGATGAGACTACTTTCAACCTTAGTCTTTATTACATCTTAATGGCTCGTCATGAAAGTTAATATGCATTAATTTTAGCGTCTACTGACAATATGCAACTTTTTATTCCAGTATAAATCATGCTTTCATTACGGATTTGGGAATGTGGGACTGAGAGATGAACACTGTCACTAACAGAGGACTCCTATTAACTTATAAGAATCTTTGTGCTCTAATAATTATCACTAGCTCATTACTCATTTACTGATCTTCATGACTTTACAAGTATCAGTAAAACCTCGTCAAAAATTCTTAATGTCGAAGTATATAGTTCTGTTATTAGGCAGATAATCAGTTTGGAAAGTTTGAAAACAAAAGTAAAAATCTTGTTAATTATTTTTATTCTTATTAACTCGAAATTATCTTTTTAACATTTTATATCCAATGGAAGTAAGACATAAAACCTTTTATTGTTTAACATATAACAGAAAGTGAAAATGTGTCGTTGCTTGTCATACATAGACAAAGAATTGATTCTCTTGTCAAAGGATCCTTTTTTTTATTGCAGAATCTTAACATTTCTTTGCTTGGGAGGCTTTTTCTATTTTTGAATGTGAAAGAGTTGACGATTATGAAAACTATTTGAATCGAGATTAGCATTTTGCTATCTGCGTAAGAAAAACTGCTAAAGTAAGCCACGTTCAAAATTCCGTTTGACAAATGCTTCTCTAGACGACTCCGTCACCTTTAACTATTCATTCGCAGTTCGCAGTTTCTGGCATTTTATAAACTCCTAAATCTACGAACTTGGCTCTCGTTCACCAAACTTTCAAAAAAACAAAAATTAAAGTACAGTTTCGAAAACTCTAATTTTCATTTTTAGATTCCTACTTAAGATATTTATTATTATTATTTTTTAAAAATCTCGATTACAAGTTTGTAATTTTAAAGGTCTTTTAAGAAATTATATAACAATTTCTTAAAAGAGTATTATAAGAAATTAAGTGTATAGAATGCAAATGAAGTATTTCGGTTTTGTTCAATAACAACTTTATCTAGAAAGGAATTACATCCTAAAGGGAAGAAGTCGAACAAATACCCAATTCTTTGTGTTGGCCCATTTCGAGTCGAAGATAGTGTTGATAGGAAAGGCGCATTGTGACATTGTGACTTTAGTTGGATAGTTTCGCATTCCAAACACCATTCCTTTACAATATCTTTAATTTACGTTCGCTACTCCACATTACAAGAATAGAAGATATTTACTCCGTATTAAAACTTTGACTCGTTATCGACTGGTATTAATCCTAGGTATTAAATATTCTAATTTTAATGATACTTACGGAATAAAATTATCTTAATTATCTTTTAATGACTTATTAAATTTGTTGTAGAATGTTTTTATTAATACAAATACATATTTTTATTCGAATTAGATTTTTTTTCTTATAAAATCTGAATACAAATTTTTAATAATNGTGAAAAAATTTTAGGGTTTTCCATTCAGAAGTAAAGAAATCTTTTCCTTGCACATTACGCGGTGAATTCAAAATTTCACATCTTTACATGAATTGACGCAATATCGTCAATTCACATAAAGGTGTGAAATTTCGAATTGACAGAAACTTGTAAATGAGGAGATGGTACTGTACTTAAAATCAATAAATAAACAACTTTTAATTAAAAGGAAACATAAATGATAATTGATCGGTCCACCTGTTTTGCTTATTTAGATCTTGAGGAATTTATTGTTTTACTGTAGTGGTAGTTTCAAGGACAATGGTAGGAATAAAAATATCGTATTTCGTTGCAAAAAAGAAATTCAATGGCAACTGATATTTTAAAATTTATTGACTCGAGTGCTTTTAAAATTTGGAGACCAAAAAAACGCGATATATTCGAATCCGCGATATAACGAGGGGCTACTGTATTAATAAATTGCAGTGCCGAACTGTTGTACTAATTCTTAGGCGTAATACATTATAAAACGTAAATATGATGTATATTAAAGAGAAAAATTCATATTATTAGAAAACAAATTTATTATGATTCTGAGAGATTTTCATATAACAGCTACAGTAGAATCCCGATTATCCAAGGTTCCGCATTCATTATCCGAGACGAACCTGTAAGTGAGTACAGTACTTTTTTAATACTCTAATTCATAAAATAAAGTGAGCTTAAAAAAACTTAAGAGTGTTAACAAGTATACATTCTTCAGTAAAAATAAATGATAAAAGATTAAAATGAGCAAATTACACTCATTCACAAAAAAGTTACGCATTAAAGAGAAGGCATCGAAGTGGAATGAAACTTCATTTGTGTGAACGCAATGAGGACGACGATGAGTAATTACAATATCTTAGCAAAGGGACAATTTCCCGTGGAACAACAATACAATTTAAATGCAAGTTCAATATCTTGTAAAACCCTCCTCTTACCTGGTTACGTGTGGCGATGTGGTCGGACACAGAGACATACTTGCACATTATGTTATCCTGCGACCGATTCGCTTACAGATGTTGCAACTGCTACTCTAGACCCCTCACACTCGTATATGGCCGAAGTTGGCGTTCTATCTGATTCCACAAATGCTCGATGTCGAGCAAACTGGAAACTGGGTAGGCCAAAGAAATGTGACAACGGGACGGAGACATTCCCGAGCGTACCGCCAATCAATGTCCCTCGTACTACTACTAGAAATGACCGACTGCCATACGAGATGGCTTTCCAGACCAGCACGCCAACAATGGGAGCAATGTACTGTTCAACAATAAAGGCGGGATTGAAGCGTTCATCAGTGGTCATCCACAATAATAAGATGGTCTTTCGTTCCAAACAGAACCTAGATTTATCACTAAATATGCAAAGCAATCCACGCTTTTTTGTCACGAGATCACTGCAAACAATGCCGACGATATTGGGACGATAATGGCAGGAAGCGTAGCTGTATGCAAATTCACTCGGCTATTCGCCCACGGAAAAAGACGGTTCTGTAGCTAGACTTCCATATGATTTTTGAATTTTAAACAAAGAAAGACAACACTGAAGCCGTTCGTACTTAACTCGCGATCGGACGATTTTGGTGGTCCGTCCGGGGCATCCAGACCCCAGCTGCTCGTATGTGTGCACTGACATCCACTGCCCCAACACCTCGCAGTCGGGTCGAACGGCCCAGATGGCGGGCAGTTCGGCAAAACGACTATGCAGCTTCTCTCAGCTGATGCGGCCTTTCTTCAACTCTGCCAGTTGCGCCTAATGTATTTATACATGCCTGGCGTTCAAAATTTCGAAACAACAGATACACTGAAAGAACACAGCGGGCCTCTGCCAGTTTTTTTATAGGATACAGAGGTAACGATTTTAAGGCACTCTTGTGGCATTTCATGGCGTGCAATCGGACCACAGCTGTAATCATTTTCGTTCCTGTCTGAGATATATAGCTGTAGGCCGAGTTTTGCAGTAATTGGACAATTCTGAGTGCGTAACTTTTTTGTCAACGAATGTGTCATCGAGATTAAAAATTAATTCCTTAATCTTAGCGAATTATTATTTTCATCGTTAAATATTATCTTTGATTATAAAATAATGCGCTTGTTCTTCGCATCTGACAGACACATCTCGCAATTTTTTTGAGTTTCTACGTTATTTATGAAATAATATATTTTGATATTTATTAGTAGTCATAACATGGAATAACGGTCATTTAAAAGCATTAAAGCTGATTACTATACATTTGATTGTGATTATTATTATTATTATTTATGAATATAACATTTATCATCATAATAATTTCCGTGACATTAAACTATAAAAATAAATTACATAACGAAGTGTTTGATTTCTATCCAAATGTATTTTTAAGTAAAATTTAATTTAAAAAAATTGCAAGTTTTGTTTTGAAATTTTTATTTAAATTAAAGTCAACTTCAAGTTGATTTTTTTAAGTTGCATAAAAATTGAATTTTCTCTCGATAATTGCAAAAGTATTATTATACCATTATCCTCGTTGTTACTATATCAAAGTTATTATCAATGAAAATCTATGTTTTATTAGTACAAAAATTAATTCGATTAAAATTTAATTTACTCCAAAAAGAATAAATTGAATTTTAACTAAGAAAAAGAAGGAAATATGTTGTATTTCAGAAAATGTCAGAATAATAAATATAATCAAATTATCTCATATGTAGCATTTGGAAGAATTAAATAATGTTACTTATTCTGTCAGACAGGATAATTAATTATTATTTGAACAAGTTATTAAAAGTTAAAAGAGACTTGATAATATCAATAGAAAGCCAATTTTGTTTTTTAAATAAATATTATTAAATGTTGTTTTTAAGTTACCGAATTGATTCAATCTATGAAGATGATTAACCCATTAATATTCATTTATTTTTCGGAAAATACATATTAATACAATTTACTCATTTCCTTAAAGTAGAAATTAATTTTTAAATAATTTAATGTTAATTTTTATGTATATTAATTTTTATAAAAGTTAAAATAAGTAAAGATAAATTGATATGTTTTAATCATTTTTTTAAT